CAGCGATCTCCCCTTAGGACCCAGAACAGCAGCTTCTGAGAATATAAAAAATATCCAGGCAATAACACTATCCTTAGGAGATACCACGCTTCCTCCAATCAAAATTCTAATCACTTTCTCCAAACCTTTCCCTTGCACAAAATGATCCAGTTTAAAACAGGTTGTTACCTGTCATATTTTAAGATCACTGATGAATGCTTTTCCAAAATAAATTTATTTCTATCTTATACTGCAGTCAGAGGTAATGCTGATATATTCTCGGCTTAAAAAAAAAAAAGAGAGGCTTTTTTAGTCCTTCTAAATAGGACGACAACAGCCAATGGCAGGCAGCGAACATGTTTTGAGAGCTTATTCTGTGCTAGACGCTTGCATCTCATCTCCCCTCCTAACCATCCTATGAGGTAAGTTCTAATACAGGAGCATAATTGCCGCCTGCCATTCTGAAACCAAAAAAGCTCTAAGACCCAAAAGTTTTTCCATAGCTTACTTGGCAGCAAAACTTAATGGACCTGAACTCATTTGGGAGGCGAAGCTGCCCTGACTTAACAGGAGGCTATTTCGATTTTAGTTAACCCACTAATGTGACTATCCATAAAGTTTGCTACACAAATATGAATGTATATGACACCTTCCTACCTTCCTAAAGCCTCAAAGTCTCAGAATTCTGAAACATCTGGCCCCAAGGATATAAGATCAGGTATGGTGACTCTCTATTATCAACCCATTTCACAGGTAGGAACTGAGAGTCCTTGAGGGGAAGTGACTTGCCTAAGGCTACAAAGTGGACAAGAGGGGGAGCTGACGGGGGCTGGCCGGCTCCATCAGAGTCCGAGCTGGTAGTACCAAGGTGGGCAGCCACGAGACATGTCTCAGCGCTCCACCCACTCGACGCCATCTGGGAAAGGGCACTGTGCCAGCAAGGATTTTCTCTGAACCAACTATTTTGGGGAATGGAGGAAATGGCAGCGTGGAGAACACCCATCAGAACGGGAGAGATTCGGAGGGACTTACCTTGCCCAGGACAGTGAGGCATGGCTTCGGGTCCAATTCTGGCTGTTCCAGCTTCACCACTCCCACCCAGCCATATTCATACAAGTCCTCTTCGTCATTGTTATTACATAGGCCCAGTGGGTGCATCTAGGAAACAAAAGGCAAAGAAAACTTCAATCCACAAGCTGCAGGTATGATTGACGCACATTTCTCAGACGTGTATTTCTCAGACTCCACAGTCAAAAGTACCTCAAAACTTAAAATTAAATGGGGGAGGGGGGGGCGCAGTTTTCAACCCACGGGGAGTCCTGTCTCAGCACGAGCTGAGCACTGGGGAGAAAACAACGGAGCCACTATAAATATACTTAGAGGCCCAATGCACGAAATTCGTGTAAGAGTAAGCCTTCCTTCCCCTGCCTGCTGGCACCCAGAACCTGGGCTTCCCTCCAGCCATTGGCAGGCACCCAGGACCCGGGCTTCCCTCCAGCCTGGCTTCGTCTAGAAGGTGGGCTGGAAGGACATCCGGAAGGGCATCCGGTCTAATTAGCATATGACACTTTTATTATTATAGATTTTATGGATGCTTTCTCACTGTGTACACAGTGGTCACCCAAGGTGGACACCAACCTATGGGATGTAGGGAACAATAGCATAGCACCCATGCAAATGCCAATCTAATTTGCTGTGTGATACCGTAACATTGAGCAGCAGTTACAAAATGAGACTAGCTAGGTTAGTATCCAAGACTATTCGGCCTCTAGACCTTAACAGCGCAGCACTGACTTCAACTTCTGCCAGAGGAGCTGGAAACACATTCACGAATGTATGGAGAGACCACTAGACACGTGGTAGAATCACCAGGAGAATGGACAGGCTGTTTAAAGGCTCTCCTGGTTCCTGGGAAACAGATTACATTCTTTAAAGCTTTTCCAGAATTTACAAAGCACAGAAATCAAAGATAGGTAGAGGAACATCGTCCAATTTTTGCTAGTAAAAGCACAGCCCACGGAAACCTGAAAACAGAACAATCCTAAGGTTTGCACTCAGAGATCTACCACTGAGTTGAATCAGGCCTTAGAATCCCTAATAACAAGTTGAGAAGACAAAATCCTCATAATCAAACAAAGACGGTAATGAGTCTAGTACTGTGCCAGGCTCCATAAATAACTGGGAAAAACCCACGGTGGCAGACAGAGTAATGGCCCCGATGTCCTAATCACGGCCTAATCCCTGTGAATATGTTACCTTGCGTGGCATAAGAGACTTTATATTTATAGATGTGAGTAAGTTTGAGGTGGGGATATTATCCGGGATTAACGGGGTGGGTCCAATGCCGTCACAAGGGTCCTTCATGGACACAGGGAGGAGATGGAGCAATGGGCTTTGAAGATGAAGGAGGGAGCCATGAGCCAAGGAATGTAAGCAGTGGACCTCCAGAAGCTGGAAAGGACAGGAAAGGGGTCCTGCCTAGAGCTTCCGGAAGGAACATTGCCCCGCCAACCCATTTTTGACCTCGGACCTCCGGAACAGCGAGAGAATAAATTTGTGTTGCTTTAAACCACTAAGCTGTAGTAACTTGTTATAGCAGCAGATAGGAAGGTAATATACCCTCCCTAACCCCCACTCCTTTTACAGATGAGAATATAAGTTCAGGATAAGTCGTTTCGCCAAGACAACACAGCCAGCAGACGGCTGTACCCAGAGGTGACCTGGCTCTTGGATTCACGGTCCAGAGCCTTCCCACTTTACCTGTTTAACTTAACTGTCCCTTCCTCTGAGCGCTGGTCATCTCACTGGGGAGAAAAGGCTAAGAAATAACATCTTCATTTTAAAAAGTTGCCCACCAGCTCTAAATCCTGTGGCGTCAGGGTGCCGCATGAGCTTAGTGCGGGAAGCGAGGGTTGCTAGAATGTTCGGGGGGGCTTTGTGCAGCTGCTGAGCCTTGCTTGAGCTGAACTTCCAAGGGAGAGTTGACTGGTCAGGGAAAAATGAGAGACGGCAGGCGGTCACTCCAAGCCCGGGGCGGAGAATCTAAGGGCTTGAGGGCGAAGAGAAATGAGAGCAGCCGCGTGAGTATGGAAGGCCACAGTCTACACCAGAAAGGAAAGAGATGGGCCAGACGACTACATAGGAATTTAAACACCAAGACAATAGCATCGATTCGTCAGTAGAAAAACGGCACATGGAAAATAGCATATTTTAGGCAGATGGTGACACACCTCTGGCAGCACGGTCCTTGGACTCTAGAGGCATCAATGAGGGGAGGGCTGGCGAGTGCAGCTCAGAGAAGAAAGATCCTGGGCAATTCAATGGAACGACAAGGAGGATGATGAGGCAGATGAGCACAGGGTGCTACAAGGGGTGTCCAACTGCTGTCTGTATGAGCCGCGGGGCCTCCCGTTTCTGCATGAGTCCTGAGGCGTAAAGAGCGTGCCCAAAGGACCAATGAGGGTTCTGCATGCGGTGGATGGCTCCGCCTTCCCATAAGCTGCCCCCGAAGAACCAGCCCGCTCTAGAATGTTCAAAGGTTATTAAGTGATGAGCAGCTTGAAATGTAGGCCTCACAGTGGAGAGAGGGTGGGTGAGGGTGATAGGCGAATCGGACTCACAGCTCAGTCACCCCTGACCTCCAGGAAAGGTCTCTGAGCCGGACTCAAGTCAGCTTCCTGAAACCCTAGGTCAAGTCGTGTCCATGGCAACCATCCACACTGTTGACCCTTTTCTACAGTATTCCATGATATTTGAGGCCTGGCCACGTGATTTGGAGGTTTCCAGATGGATAGTTGCATTTTGTTACTTACACATGTATGGGGTTTGGCCAATACTCAAGAGCTGGGTTGGGGGAGCAGAGATATCATGCACTTTATGACCTTGCATTTATATCAAAGAAGCCAGACACAAAAGATCATGTATTATATGATTTCACTGCTATGAAATATTTCGGGGGGGCTTTGTGCAGTTGCTGAGCCTTGCTTGAGCTGAGCTTCCAAGGGAGAGTTGACTGGTCAGGGAAAAATGAGAGACGGCAGGCGGTCACTCCAAGCCGGGGCAGAGAATCTAAGGGCTTGAGGGCGAAGAGAAATGAGAGCAGCCGTGTGAGTACAGACGGCCACATGCTTTGGGGTGAAATCAGTTGATGGTGATGGTTGCAGAACACTGCTAACGTACTCAATGCCTCTGCACTGTATACCTTAAAATGGTTGAAATGGTGAGTTTTAGATCAATTTTACCATAATAAAAAAGGTTTTAAAAAGTGCCCCTAGAGTTTCCTCTGAGATGACTGCCCTCAGCTAACAGGGGAATCCACAGTGGAGGGCGATGTGGTTTCCCCCTTCCAGAGCCTAAGCCGATTACCGCAGCCCTTCTGGAGACGGGCTCCTGCAGAAGGCTAGCCCTGTAAGATGAAAAACAGGTTCCTGTCCGAGTACAGAACTTGAGAAAGACTTCATAGGGACTCAGGATTCACATTTATAAATTAAAGGGCTGCAGAGGCCTAAGGTTTAAAAAAACAAAAGGGTTTTAACCTTTATTAAAACCAGCATTTCCTACCCTTTGATTATAAGCCCATTTGGTGTTTAATATGGTCACACTGCTTCACGGCACAGGCTTTGGGAAATGCATACACGCATGACAGAATAAACCTAAAGCAACTATGACTCAGATGCCGAACACCCATGACACAAAGGATAAGGGATATAGTGAGAGAGACGAGGGACAGCCGAGGCTGGGAGGGGGGGCCGGATGTGGAGAAGGGAGAGGAGGAGGAGGATCAGGAACAGAACCCAAGGGCGGCAGAAGCAGAAGGCAGAGCCGAGAACTGGCACTTTCAAGCCACAATGAGGAGGAAGTGGGTCGGACCAGGTCGGAGGCTTATGCTGTGGAAAGCAAAACCCAGGGTCACATTCAAGAGCGTGTCCCTGGGTATATAGAAACCTGACCGCCGTCAGCCTCAAGCACACCTACTGGTCCCCTCGGGTCTAGCAGGCCCGGTGCCCTGGCTGCACTTCGTGGCGGGCCCTCTGCCCTCAGCAGTCTCACCCTCCATTCTCCTCCAAGACGCCCCTGTCAAATCTTCCACTGACACTGGGGTGACTGTTAGCAGCTCAAAATGTCAGTCCTGTCAAGGGTGTTGACTTCTGAGCAGAGATCAAAGACTTAAAAACCAAAAGGAATTTTTCTAAAGTGCCAGTGGGTGTGATTGATTGGCGTCGGTTGTTTATTTTCCCATGGAGGGCAAAGAGGCCACCAAAATAAAATCACATCTCAGAGCCTCGAAACTCCACCTCACACTCCCCACCACCTTCCCAGCTCCACTTTGGAGTTCCTTCTCTCCCGAGTTCCTTATTCCAGTTTCCATGCCCAGGTGCCCAAACTACTGGTCCCGTTAATGTCATCTCAACTACGTTTTAAGTGTAACTGGCCTCCTCGACCCACGTGCCAAATATTGAATAATTCAGGTCTCTGTCAGCTCGCCCTGATGACAATATCAGCTTCCGGAACTGCCCACCACCCCAGGCCGCCAACCATTTACACCCTGGAGTTCTCTTTTCCCAAGGGCTCCAAGTTATAAGCGTATCAGAATGTTTTATAGGGAAGCACAAGTAGCCATAACATGAAAACATTCCTTTGTGAACTGATCTGCCTCAAAGGATGGAATAGTCGAGGCAAAGTCATAAAATGCAAATGGATAAAAACCAATCTGGGGAAAATGAAGAAGGGGATGGCTTTCCTGTTAACTGAGCATCTACTATGCTACTATATTTATATATTGTATTTAATCCTTTTCGTAGCCTCTTACAAACCCGTTGGGACATCCGATGATATAATGACTAGACCAAGTAAATAAGCTGCAAACTAGAATTGCAAATCAGCCACTGATGCAGAATGTGATGGAGCCCACAAGAGTCCTATTAGTCAAAAACACGATTCTACTCAAAGCCGACGGCAACCAGTCTAGTGAAGGATTAAAGAAGAAGGAGTTTCCACTGAGAATGGTCGAAGGATTAAGACAGAACTTTGGAAAAAGTGCGAGTCCTCGAATATTTTTGGAAAAGTGACTTTTGATGATCAAACACAAGAAGAGGCCACATCCATACAATTTTGCTGAAAAAATCCCCACACTGCCGAAATGGGGTTCCCTCTCTGTTTATTCTCAGAAATCAGTGCAAAGCAATTATAATTTAACTTATTAAATTAAAATGTAAACTATCGTTTTCAGTTTCATTTTTCAAGGTAAAGCCCTAATCAAACTTTTCCCCCACTCCTTACTAAGAAATATTAGCCCCTAATTTATAAAAAGATCCCGAAGTCCTTTTCTGGAAAATTATCATACAGATAGATAATGAGGACTTCCTACGTATGGAATGCATATACTCCTGAAGATTC